CTTTCAAAAAGGAGGCGCTTGACACTGCCCTTCTCCCCCAAAAGAGCTGTAGGGATCAAGTTTACAACGAAATCATCAAACTCCGTCTGAGGGAGAGGAGAGCCAGGCTGCCCGCACGAGTAAGCGAGCTTGCTCAGCGTATCGATGCCATGGTCGGCGAAAGCCCGAAGTGTCTCACGGCTAAGGCCCACCTCGGTACATCGCGACTTGAAGTGATGGGTACTCTCTACCAAGGACGACATGTTGAGCCCTAGCAGCAGTCACTCGCAAAGCTCACTCAAACTGACAACCGAAAACTGCAAATGCAAAACTCGGCAACACACTCTGAGCACATGCACTCCGGGCACTTCGCTCTCCGACTTTCATAATGTCGGTTCGCATACCCTCGATGCGAAGTCAAATGTGCGCTTTGCACACCTCTCAAACATTTCGCCGACAAGTCCGGCACTCCACACCTCTGCACACTTCGGCCTCCGAAGCTTTCCTATAATTCGAGGTCACAGGTCGCCCACATGCGAGCAACATCGGAACCTCTTCCGAACTTGCGAGGAGATGCAAGACTCCACTGACAGTGTCGATGTACCACACCTGGTCCGCATCTTCCACCTTGGCCCGCCTCCACCTCTTGACCACCGGCGGGGCATCATCCCCTGCTGACGACGTGGAGGACGACCTAGAGGAATCGCTCTCTGACGAGTCCTCCTGTCCTTGATCAGACTCGTCGCTGCTGACCACCTCGACTTTAACCTCAGCAGGCTTTCCGCTTCCTCCCCCGGCTGCACTCGAACCTTCTGCTGGCCTCGGCTTTGGCAAGCTTGGGAAATAACTCGAGCGACTGTTATCCGGGAAGAACCGGCCCTCAGCTATCTCACGGATCATGTCCTGCAATCGCCTTGCAGGAGCTGCGCACAACTCGCGGCTGTAGATGGCCTGCGTCGTCCGGATCGAAGACGCATGTCTGCCCAAGACACTCTTCAAGTCCTCGTCGAATCCGAACTTGCCACCCCAACCTAAGCAAGTCCCCCTCAAGGAAAAGGCAGTGATCCTCGGTGCTGCGGGGTCCACTGCCTCCTCGGGCACTCCCAAAAATGCCCGGAGTGCACGGCCTACTTCTGCAGGTGTAACCGACCTTCGGGAGAGCACGGCCCCCAAGGTCAGCGGGCCCTTAATATCTCGCAAGCTCCTGCCTGCATCACGAAAGGCCGTGACTGCCTCATCCACCCAGCACTTGCCATGCACTCCGATCATAGGAACCAAGATCGGCAGCAGTCTGGTCTTCAGCTGAACCTTTCTCGCACCCTTATGCTGGGACACCTCAAAAACCAGCAAAGGGTAATCGGCACCTGCAGAGCAATCGATTTCGACAGACTCGATGAAAAGAAGATTGCTCGGCCGAGCCCTTGCATACAGTCTTATCAGCAAAGAAGCGAGGAAGGCCCGATCGAAAGCATGCAGACCCCCAGACTCAAGTCTGGCATGAAGCTCGAGCATTTGTGCAACCGTGAGGTCCTTGGCCTGACGAAGTTTTCTCAGACGCACAAGCTGCTGTTCGGCTGCTCCTCCTATTCGCTTGGACTGTACGATACAGTCGATCCTAAAGCCTAACACAAAGTGTGCAAACCTGAAAGCGCTGAGCATTGACGAGGTTTTAGTTGCAGGGAGCACCCGTCGCCTTAAGGTGCTGCACATAATTCCAGACTTGAACTTCATGCAAACTTGCTAGCCGAGAGAGGCTCGTGCACATCCAGCCATCGAACGAAAGAGCAAAAGGAAGCAGCTCGCTTATGAATGGTGTGGAGAGGCTTAACTCCCACCGCTGCTCCAACTGCAGCAGTCACGGCTGTAGAAACCTCCGCGCTAGCTTCTAGCCTCTCGATCACACAATCATGTAGTGAACAGCACTCTGCAAATCGAACAACAAGCTGGCTCTACATACTCACACCTTGGTCAAGCTTGCTCTCGCGTTCTGCAGCAGGATCCCTGGCAGCTGCCCCAATGAAATCGCTCAGGCGAAAATTGTACCAGGGAACGCCTCCTTCGCCAAGAGTCTCGAGGAACCTTCCCAGCTACAGCCGACAGAGCCGGATCACCAGGTCCTGCAAAGCCTAGCAAGGGGTCCCACTCGAACTCAGGGTCGAGCAACCTTTTGGCGAAGTCATTCTCCCAAGGAAGTTTATGTTCAGTAAAGAGCCAACCGAATCTTGCAACATCACCCTTAACTATGCTCCCCACAAAGGAGCCCAGTGCATCATGCACAGGTGCTTGATGCAAAGTGAAGTCGATCCTCTTTGAAGGTTCAGAGCTGGGATTTGGAGAAGGATCAGCAGACTCAGCAGAACCTTGGCAAACACACACTCCTAAGCCAGGGATGCACAACAAGTCGGAGAGCCCAGGAGTGTGGAAATTGATGCTCATAGAGGCTATCAACACCTCTTCATGCTAGGTGCAAGTGTTTGAAAGAGTTTCGGGAACAGACTGTTCGTTTTGTTTCCTCCTTGCTTGGTGTGCCTTTTGCAGTGCAGAGAAGCAGTAGAGTTTTCACGAATTTGTTTTCGCA